TTGCTCCTTATGTTTTTACATTCGGGTATAGCTAATACCTTCTCTGTGTGTGAGTTTGTGTAGAATTATAAATATTTTCAGGACTGTGCCTCAAACCCAAGGATTTTCAGAATTCCTGTGAAGGTTAAATCAATAAGAATGAAATATTTGGGCCTGCTGCTCTGGGCAGCACAGGTAGCACCTTGTTTAGTGCTTGGATTGCTCCTATAGAGAGCCCCCCCCCCCAATTCAGTCCTAGATGTTTTTACCAGAAAATTCCAGAAGCACTTGACAGTTCTGAGGCACTGGCCTGGACCCCCCTATGTGTAAACTGTGGGCTTAGTTTGCGTTTGCTCTTCAGCTCCTGGGATTTGTGTATCTTAACTTAGGTTTAATTGACATAGAGTAATTACCTATTTTTGACCTTCCCGGCAAAAAAGAAATTTACAGTGACATGAGATGGTTTTAACAAGTGCGGTTTTAGCCTGTGATTTTTTTTTTTTAATTTTTTTTTTGAGGTTTTCAGATGCTTTTCGGGACCACTCCAGTGAAGACACTTTTCACCAAAGGCTCAGACACGAGATCGTAATTTAAGGGTTGAGGTTTTTCTTGATGTCAAGCAAAGACAATTCACTTCCAGTCAGTTGGATATTAAGTCCTGTGCTGAACATGGAACTTTCTGTTTGGCCGACAGTAGTACTTAAAATATACTTTTATTAATATCTCACCCTCTTTTTAAATTTCTCTTTTTTTTATTGGTCTTCCAATTTTTTCTTAATCATGGTAAATTGATTAGGTGTATATTGATTGGATGGCAGTAACTCTGTCTAAGGGATATGAAGCAAGGGAATCCAATATATTGTACAACAAGTAAAGCGAACAGTTATGCCCTTAAAAATGTGCTGTAGACTGTAGATGAGCTATATTTGGTCTTGCATGTTGAAGGCAATACACCAACCTGTGTCCCATTTTACCCTGATATGATCTGAAGTAGCCTTTAAGCCGGGTGAAAGAGTCCACTGACACAGAGTGTGCGTGTGCGTGCGTGCGTGTGTGTAGCCCTCAGAATAAAGGCGTAACACAGATGAGCTTTGTTAGCATGCGACGTGCTAAAGGAAGCCCGGGCATCAGCTAGCCTTTTGATTTACAAGCTGCCGTTCGTTAATTGTCAGTGACTTTCTCTTTGTTACGTCTAACACTTGAATTCTTTTAAACATTCTTCGCAATTTCAAGGGATTTACTGCTGTTTTGTTGGTGGGTTTCCACGCTACAGGAGTTCTGTTTCTTCGCAATAGATTGCTATTTATTGTTTCCCAGTTGTTCAGTGTTTTGTTTGGCAGGATGCAGCCCTTGAGTGAAGTGGTAGATTATTTTAAGAAGCGCCTTCCAGATTCGCTCGGAACACCGGTGCCTCTGGTTCTGTCAAAGAACACGTTTGAAACGCATGCATGTTGTTGTTGTTTTTTTTAAAGGGGCAGCAGACCTATAATACATATGTCATAATAATAGCTTCCTTTATGTTATTCCTTTATAAATCAGTGTAATGAATATTAAGCTCCTTTTTCCTTTCCCATAAGAAGCCGAAATGGTTTGTTGAATGCCAATAAATGTTTAAAATGCATTTCTGAACCAGAAAAGGAACACCGTAGACATTGATGTGATTATTTTAGTTTTTATTTACTCTCGGGCTTGTTGGGTTTTGGGTTTTGCTTTTAAGGAAAGCAGAGAGGCTTTGGGAGTTGAGAGCCTTTTATTTGCAGGGTTTCTCACAAAGAATGTTTCCAAAGCAAATTGTTACAGGAAGGTGTTCCACTATAAGTATATAATAAGCATAGTCTTTAAATGAAGTTTCTGATTGGCTTAAAATGCGTCAGCATTTGAATTGTTGCCACTTATATCTGCGGGGAAACAGCTTTACTTATGAGAGTCGCATAGCTGCTTCGCATGAAATGAGCCTTAAAGGAACATTTCATTCCACCCTAGAATATCCCTAAAGGTTTTTTTTTTTTGTGAATGACTTCTGTTATTGTCTAGAAGCTGGGGCATGAGCCGTGTGTGATGCATTATAATCACTGGCTCTCAGATCCGCAGAAGTGAGAGGTGACCAATTCCGCTAGAATCGGTATCCACGGTATCATGAATTGCATGTTGAGAATTATATAGCTGAATGTTCCTATTGCCTAACCCCATCAATGACACCGATTTGGGGTACATCCCTACTCACTCTGATAAACAAGGAAAAATAATGCTGACATCCATTTCATATTATGGTGAAAGATATATGCATATTTGCACCATTTTTAAAAAAGGTTTCCTTTCTGACATTCTGATCTACATTTTAAAAGATCTACTTCTAAGCTGACTGGCATAAAAATGCACTCCTAAATACTCCTAAAGAAACACACGTCTTAAAATTTGAATAATTTTCTACAGTTTAAAGACTGTTTAAAACGTTTTAATATGCTTATATAAATATGCTTTCCCAGTCAAGTCAGTTTTGCAGGAGAACTAATTAAGTACTTGCTAGAAATAGATCTATTAGTATTCTGTTATTACTTGACTTTTTGTGCTATCATAACTTCTGTTTGAGGCTATAAATGTATTCAGGTAACTGCTTTGCTCACAAGATAAATTGTCATGACAAAGCTGAATATCTGCTGCTGTAACTAGTTAATAAAATATACACATAAACCAAGGTATTTAAAAAAGTGTGTTTTTAGAAATATTGGTTTGAGCTAGCAGATGTTAAATCTATCCTGAAGGATCATGAGCTTGGATGGATTTATACTCATTTGGCTATGTGCCTTTTTGTTGGGCCAGAGGTCCTGGGTAGTCAACCAGGATTGGTGAGCCAGGGGCAGGATTTGAGGCGTGAGCCACCTGAAGACCAGAGAGACGTGGCGTTTCTGCAGTTCTCAGCCTCTCATTGCCTTTTGTCGACAGGCCTGATTTTCCGTTTTATTGCGTTCTGCTTGGTTAACCTCTGGCCCGGCCCCTAAAAATGCCGGGACCTTGAAGGACGCGGCACGTTCTCCTCAACCTGGGCACACAGGTTAGCTTCCCTTTATTAATGTTGTTTTTCTTTTACGCAGTCGAGTTGTGATAGCAAATTAAAGGAATTAACCCGCGCGGCTCGACCACACTTCAGACCACCGGCGTTATAAATTAGAAGCACATGGACTTCAGAGTGAAAGAACAAGTTTGTAATTGATTAGCGATGGTTTAGGGTTCTTGGGAGCGTTTGTAGGACATCTGTACCCCCTCTTGCAGGATTGCAGATGTTATCAACGCTTTGAGTTCCCTAAGCCATAGGAATCTTAGGATTAGTTTATCTGTTCTTACCCTCATTGCCTTTACCGTTCACAGTAATGTAATTTTTTGTAACAAAAAACACCATATTTTGATACTGAACAGGAGAGTGTTTTTGAAGTGATTCATAGTTGACAACTTCAAAATGCTGAACTTGGCAGTTTTCAAAATGTTTTTTTTGGAGAAGAAATTACATAGACTTAATGTAAATTACAGGGCTCATCGCTGTGACTAATATTGACTGTTATACAGTTAGACACAGGGATGTTAGTTGGCTGAAAAGTATTTAATGATCACATTCCATGGCCAAGAATGAAAGCCTTAAGGTCACAAACATCTAAACAATCGAAAATATTATGCTCTCGTTTTTTTTTAAAAATTAACCAAGGTCATTTTTGTTTTTTTTCTACCCAAAGTATTGGCATTTTACCATTAAGTACCATTTTTAAAAATATATATATATATAATTAATGAACATGCAGAGTATGCATTAAAGCTTAAATGATTACTGGGGACAGGATTGTAGCATCTCTCAGCTACATTGTGGCTTCAGGATTTCAGTCAACATTTGGCAAGGACAACGATGACAAAAAAGGAGCAGCCAATTAAAAAGTAGAAGCAAAGTGGCAACCGTATGTTTTTACCTTCGTCGGCTTACTCGCGGTACAGCATAGGGAAAGACTCCTTAACGATGAAGGACACCATTGAACGAATGCTGTAAGTTCAATCATGGTTTATTTAAAGGGTCCCTTGCACATTAATGATCTTGCATGTTGCGAATGGAGCTTTGCTTATCTTAGGAGTGTCCAGAAAGGTCGAGAGAGTCTGAGCGTCATATTTTGTGGTGCACTATGAGTCTGGGGAACACGTCACACTCTGCGTTGATGTTATATTTCGTACTCTTCCACATTTCACTGTTCTTACATGTCGCTAATTTTACTTTTTCGTTTTCTGCCGCCGTCAAAAATGTTTTTTGATTAAATGTTTTTCTTTTTAATTCCGACGCGTAATGTCTGTTTTTGCATTTTAGATAAATAGTGTGTTCCTGTTTAAAAATGTGGTCTGTGAGATTTTCTCTACGTGTGAAAAGAGCTCTTTGCAGATGTACCTATCAGGGTGGAAATCTAAAATAAACCAGTTTGAAACGGCTTCCTGATTTTCGAGGTGCAGAGCATGTGTGTGAAAGCTGAAGGTTCAGTAGTAAGGTAATCTCCAAGTGGCCAATACTATAGCCGGGCATGTAAATACTGCAACACTACATAAAACACCAGTCTTGAGACTTTTACCAGACTATAATGTACAAATCCAACATGAAAAATCAAGCAATTCTTACATTCCTTCTATAAGAAACTTCTCCCCCCCCCAGCACATCTTGTTTCAATGTAAATTCATGGATTGAAACGGAGCAAATGTTTATTCTTGCAAAATCTCTTGCTCACTTTTCATCGTTCTACAAATGTGGGTTTAAGTTGAACAAACATGTCATCTTCTGGGTACGACTGCAAGCGTAAACACATCGGATTGTAACGTTTTTGAATTGGGTTTTTGTTTTTGCCCCGCAGAACATTATGCCCTATAATTTTAAACAGTGAATATGACTTAAGAGAATTCAACGGCTGTTAAAAGTCTCCACACAATTTTGAGCTTACACTAAAATGAATCATATTGCACATTGAATTAAATATATAAAAAAAGGCTTTAAGTGAACTTACCCCAATAGAAGTTCTGTTGACATGGTGCCACTGAACTAAAAAGGCTGTTTGATGCCATAGTCACTTTTGGTGGTTCTTCAAAATGTTCTTGTCCCTTTGATTTTGATAACCCTTGAAGTTCTAAACTGTGAAGACAGACCATATTAGAGACAGGGTGTTTAGAAGGCATTCATGCAACACAGGCAGATGAAGATGAATTTTGCTGACATTCTGTACATCCTCAAGTAACAAGCAGGTTGCAGGAAGACTGCGTAACTACTTGTTACTGGTGTTTGCAGCGTGGATGGGTGTATTTAGTTGAGTTGTGGTTAGAAAGTACTTACGGACTTGTTCGGTCTCTGAGGCTGGAGTTGACCTGCGCGGATTAACCATTTACACACCGAGGTCTCCCTTCTGTCGTCGTGCAGAAAATCCTGCACCGCACTTGTGGTTCTGTGGTTGTTTGTGGGGCGAATGAAGCATTCACACAATCCAAAAACGCATTAGCTTTAAAACTCTCCTTTTTCCCTTCATGTGCTGTTACTGGAGAGGCTGGGTCATGTGCTCGTGACATCAGAGAACAGGAGTTTAGTGGGCCAGCCTCCTGTCTGTCTTCTTTCTCGACAGCGGTACAGCAGCTCTTCCTGGCACCCAGCTTGGTGGGGGTGGGGGGGGTGGGGGTGCATCTTTTTAATTTCTGTGAGTCATCAGAAGGGGTGTGCAAATGAATAAAACCTCAATCTCATTCACAGTCTGAACGTATGGAAATCAGGGCTTTTTCTCCGATTCTCTTTTTGATCCTGGTCTTTTAATGTTACCGTTCCGGCTGCCGCCACTTATCCGGTTTGTTATCGTATCAGTGGAATTGTGGTCGGCAGCGGTGTCAGTGTAAAAATCTGAACAAAGGTGATGAGTTACAGAAAATCGCATCCCACAGCTGCATGAGTCTGCTTCAGATTTTCCGGCTAGATTAGTTTTTTATTTTTTATTTTTTAAATTTTATTTTAATTGTTGTCCTCCTCCTTTTGTAGCTCATCAGCCTCCGTCTCTTCTTACCCACCTTCTCCCTCTCTGCTGCGCTTCTGTTGCTTGTTATGGGAAGGGGCTGTTTCTCCGGCTTCTGCTGGCCAGGTCGCGGCTCTCTCCCCACTCCGTAACTGCCTTGCGGCAGAGGCGACAAGTCTGGGAGATCCCCAGATCCCACTCCCCCACCCCCCTTCCCATACGGGACGCCCTTCTCTCCCGCAAAAGTACCTTTTTGGAAGGGGCCGGCTCAGGCCCCCGCCGTCTTTTGAAGAACGAGAATTAGAAACTGTGATTCATCAGTCTGTTTCACACGCTACAAAGAAGCTGTTATTTGGCAGCTTGTCAGTTTCTGGCCTCACTTTTCTTTCCTTAAATCTTTCGACTGAAATATGTGTCAAGGTATTTCATTGCGTAATAGAGACTTTTCTTTTTGTCTGGTTCTTTTTTTTTTTTTTTTTTTAGTTACTGTTCAAACTCAGGACTTTTGAAGTTCTATGTTTATTTGGTCTGTAGTTTTTCTGCTGTGTGTAAATGTTAAAAAAAACAAAAAAAAAAACAGTTACCCTCTCACATTTTGCAGTATGCTGTCCTACACGTAAATAACACTTAATATGGATTTGAAGAGGGACAACCCCCCCCCCCCTTTTTTTAAACTTCAGCCATGTGGTTATGAGATGGTCAGCCAAATGTAAATGAATAATGACGATAATTGCAATTGAATTCCCTTCTTGTGACTCCCAGAGGACATCACCACAGTATATGCTTGGGGGGGGCTTTTGCCGCAAGTCCTCCATAATAATTATCGTTTCATTTTGCATGGCTCTCAGAATCCCGTTGAAGGCCCATCAGTAGTTTTTCCTCCAGATTCAGGGTGTTGTCAATTTAGGCTAATAACCGAACCCATATGTCTGCTTGACGGCCGTCCCATAAAGTCTGCACATGCTCAAAACACCGCACAGTTGAATCCGCGTTCGCGTCTCTTTGATCCGTCTCGGACTTAATGCATCATCCCCCCCCCTTTTATTTAGTGAGACCCTTTTGCTAGCTATTTCCTTTGGCATTGTGACATTTTTGTGACCCAATGTGACATTTTCGTCAGTTCCGCTATTCCCTCTAGTAACTGACATAGAAGTAAAAACAAAAACGATAAGACGTTTTGTGGACAGTTTTTTCCCCCGTATTTTTCTTTGATATTTATTTTAGTTGTTACATAATTTAATATGCCTTTACTCCTTGAGATATACTCCTTGATTACCCTGATTGGCTTTGCTTATCTGTGATATTATGTAACTGAGAATTAAATGTAATAAACGGTTATAATTGAGCAGGCTAGACATTTAGTATTGTTTTTTTCACTTTCCATTGATTGTGATGGATTCAAATAACCAGTGACTAACAAGGTTTATAGCTGATTCAAAAATGGTCACATTAACTTGATTGAAACATGAATGAATGAAGACATAACTCATTAATTTTATTGATATTAAATATGCATGAAATCTTATTCAATATCTATTTTAACAATTTTTTAAATTTACATTTTACAATTACAACACCATTATTACAGAAACAATTTTGTCCTGATGATTTGTATTATTGCATTTTTAAAAAAATATTTTGTTCTACAGCTAAAGATGTGATTTTGATTTTTTTTTTCTTAACCGTATACTATATGCAAAACCTTTATTTAATCCAAGAAATGAAAATGAAATGCACATGTTTTCATTCAGATTTTTTTTTTTCTTTCAGTATACCACGGAGTACTTGCTGTTTAAAAAAAATGACCTCCATCATTTCCTCAAGGCTTTTCTGTTTTTGTCGTCTTTTTTCTTTTTGAAGTCGAGATGGATATAAAATCATGGAAACTTCAGCTCCAGTGGCTGCAGAGGATGTGGCTCTGCTAAAACAGGAACGTTTTCACCCACAATGCAACATTCGGTGAACTGCCACTTCATAAAGTGAACTGTGAACATGCATGTTTTTAATGAAATTTTTCAAATCTATGCTGCTGGATTCTGCCTTTACATATTAGTCCGAGTAACCGTCATAAGCATCACTCTCTGTCTAATGCCCACTGACATCATTAGCATTTGAAATTTAAATAGGGAGTTGCTGGATGTTAGTTCCTGCATTTATTGTTGCTGTGACTGTTTTTCCTATTCCAACTAATATACAGTTTTAAGTCTTAATGATAATATAATAGTATATATGTAATTTATTAAAATCACTTTAGGGGGAAAAGTAATATCCTGCACCTAATGATTTTAAAATATCTACAAAAATGGCCTCGTCTCACTTAGTTAGTCTGTGTTTGATGTCGATCATGGTGATCAGCAGTCTGTGAGAGGGATGCGCATAGACCTCGCGGTGCCGTAAATGGGTCACGTCGCTTGTGCGCGAGCAGCGGCTTTCTCAGCTACTGAGTTTCTTGGTGGTCTGTGCCTGAATCCAGGCCTTGGTGAGTCTGACAGGTGATACCCGAATATGCCCTCGCCCATTCCGCTGGCTTGAGCAGACTCCTCTATGCCAACCTCAGACCACCAACCGAGTGGACTTTAAAACTACATCTTTTCATGTCTTTTCACGGAGGGTGGTAATAATTATTTTTAATAACTCTTGATTTGACTTTCCTACACGATTTCATAGAGGACTTGAATGTCGGTAAACGAACTGGGTTGTTTTTACTGTGTGTCTTCTAGTATATAATTAGTACATGCTTTAAAATTCGAATAGCCTCAAATGGAAAAATCTATACATCTGAAGAGTTAATATAACTAGGGGGCTGCTGTCATTTTGACATTGTATGCACTTTACTTTCCACTGTTGTTTCGTACAGAATATATTCTGCAGTTTTTCCATATATAATTTCAATAAACATTAATATCTGTGGTTCCCCATCTACGCAACAGTGGATTATATTATTGCTGATGAATTTTAGTAAAGCAGCACTAGATTTTAGCAGCAAAATAATCCTGTTTGGAAATAAAATGTATAAACTAGCCTGCAAGGCATTATGGGTGTTTTAGCAGAGTGCAAGGCTGTTTAGATTGTGGGTACATACATAGTTTTCTATGGCATATTTGAAATGAAAATATATTCTTGCCTTAGTCTGTATATGTATTTCAGGAATTGCTCCCAATTTCTTTCTTGTGGTATTAAAGCTGTTTTTCTTTTTTCCCCAGAAAAGTAATACTGATCTTTCTGGAACAAACACTCAAGCTTAAGTGGTATCCTTGCAAACACTTTTAAAAATAGCCCTGGGATTTTACGAAATTTTGCAACGTGCTAATTTGATTGATTACTAGACAAAAATATTCCAGTATGATTTTGTGAAATGCTTTGCTTTGGTTGCCGACCGCTGAAAATTGAATTCTTTTTTGGAATTTTTTTCCCCCGGTCGATCATGGGTGGTGTACAAGCTAAATTCGCCCCTAGCAACACTGAAGCTGGACCGCTGCTCGCAGATGTATGCGATGATTTTCAAGGTTATGGTCAGGAGTTTGTTTCATTTGCTACTAAGAAATTCTGAGGGAAATGCCCCCATGTTTATATGTTTACTTTACATATATTACTTTCTCTGGCCACCCAGTGCTGTGTCACTGTGGCTTTGGCCCACATTTTGAAGGCTTGGGTCTCTGAAAGCCATTTTTCCGTTCTTATTTTTGCCTACCTTTTGGCCTCATGTTGGTAATGCGGAAATCCTGTGCCGACGCTCCAGTGCATGAACATGCTGTTCTTGTTGTGTGGGAGGATGAGTCTGCACAGTGAGGTACACTGGAGAACCTCGTTACACTTCATGATTCTGGTCATTCTCTGCTCTCTTTGGCATCGCAAGTAACATCGATTTGAAGAATGGACACCTTGTCACTCTTCTGACCTTTATCGTGAGCTGCCCACCTTCCTAGCATTCGTCTGTGGAGGGGCGATGACTCTGGCGCATCTTGATAAAGTCCCATGACTCATTGCCGGCCATGCATAACAATGCATTAAATGTATAGCGGTGTGAGTGCAGCATGTTGGAAACACCGCATGACAGCACCTTTTGTGACAACATAAAAGCACCCATTAGTGCCTTGCGGGACGCTGAGACTCCTGAAGCTGCGCCATAAGTGAGAAACAACCCTGCTTTTTGTGCCCGGTGTATACGATCCCTCTGATTCATTTCTTAATCATAGTCTAGTGTGCGATTCATAATTCAACTGGTCGTCGCAACCTGAAAGTGGGGGGGAAACAATGTTGCCATTATGCTCTTCAAAATGGAGTTTAGTCTCGTAAGAACTCAGCATCCCTGATAAATGCTGGCAGCCCTCTTGAAAAACAAGCCGTTGTAAGGCTGAGAGCAACAATGGAGGAACAACGGCGACATTGTCAGACAGCCTCTGTGGTTTTATTTGGAAGGCTTTTATGTCAGTTTGTTGGCACACTCCAATGATTTTGCTGTAGCTGTTGGGGTCACTTGCCTTTAAGATGTTTGTAATAC